CCATTATACAACTTAACAATTGCATAATTAGCCCCTCTGCAGTCTTTCTTCGAACCAACCCGCCAAAGAAATCCCACAGAAAATATATGCCCACTGAAAACCTCACCATTATACAACTTAACAATTGCATAATTAGCCCCTCTGTAGTCTTTCTTCGAACCAACCCACCAAAGAATTCATCCCACAGAAAATATATGCCCACTGAAAATCTCACCATTATACAACTTAACAATCGCATAATACTCCAGTTTCGAATTCATAGCGAAAAACCGCTGCTTTATTTGACAACAGATTCTCTTGCGCAAAGACCTTACAAACACCAAAGAGAGCACGAGAAAATGTCGTTATTTCAATAGACTTGAAAATTTGCATTTTCCCCGAGTTGAGACTGACCCTGTATTCCCATGAGACCTAAGGTATGAGCAGGGTTAGCCTCAACTCSGGGAAAATGTAGATTCTTAGCGCTATTGTATCAACAACATTTTCTCGTGCTTTCTTTTGTCTTTGGTAAGKTCTTTGCGTAATAGAATCTGCTGTCAAGTAAAACAGCTGTTATTCGCTTTGAATTCGAAACTGGAGTATTACCTTTCTGCAGTCTTTCTTCGAACCAACCCACCAAAGAAATCCCACAGAAAATATATGCACGGTGAAAACCTTACCATTATACAACTTAACAATCGCATAATTAATCCTTCTGCAGTYTTTTCTTCGAACCWGCCCGCCGAAGAATTCATCCCACAGAAAATTATGCATCAGTCAATTGAAACCACGGCCCCCCGACCCCCGGGAAAGGCCGGGGAAATTAACATTTGGCAATTGTTAAAGTAACGTGTTTTCCCCGGCCCTCGGGGGTGAAACAGCTGTTAAATGCCCGGCCCTGGGAGCCCCGTCCTATTAGGACATTGAAATAACAACCAATCAACAATTTATTCTCGAGAAAGACAAACTTTATTGAATGTTAATTTATGTTTTCGCACAAGATGGGTAAAAGCATTTTCCATTGGGTGGATCTAGGTAAGAACCTTGGATACATTGAAGATGATACCAAATTATTTTCAATTTGGCTTTATCAATTATGGCTTTTTCAAAGTCAATATACTCTTCCCACTCTTTGTCATATTTTTTGGAATACAATATTACATTCTCTCGCGATTTCAAACACCTCTTTTACGTGATCAATAGTCAATGACCTGATGGGAATTATTTTTTTTGAAACTCCAAACTCACACAGCACCTACAAAAAAGTCATGTGTATAACAAACGTAAAAACAAAAGTAAAAAAGCCAAAAAATAGTACGTTTCACCGTACCTTATGTTCGTGCAAGTTGTTGGCAGCCATTTTGGATGCATGACACTCTTGTTTACAGGCTCACTCATTTTTCACGATCCTCAGCCCAGTCTCCGGCCAGTGTTAATGTCCCCGGTAAAATCCCGGCTATTTTCAAAATCTGTTAATTCCCCTGCCCCCCGTGGATTGATGCTGTTAAAACAGCGTTAAATCCCCGGCTAAAATGTGTTAATTCCCCGGCCCTCCCCGGGGGTTGGGGGGCCGGGGTTTCAATTGACTGATGCATTATGATGACCAGTGAACGTCAGCAATACATTACTTCAATAATCCCATATATTGCATAGCAGGATGATAATGTTTATACCTCTGGCTCTCCATCTGGTTGCTGCACTTGTGTTCCTTGAGCTGCCAGTTCTGCCGGAGCCTGAGGCTCCACTTGTACGTCTTGATCCGCCGGTTGTTGCTGCAGTTGTTGTCCCTATGCCTCTTGAGCACCTGGGACTTGCTCATCTTGTGGAAATTGAAATTCCCCTTCTGTCATTTTGCATTGGATTTACGTGGGTCGTATTTTCTCGGCTGCGCCTCGGACTGGAACTAATTGCGCGTACTTGAAATTTCGTCCAGTCCTCATTGTCGGCTTTGAAATATTACGTAAAAATGAAGATTATGTTCTTCGCAACGCTTCCTCGAGTAGAATGACACTTTGGAACGCCTTTTTATATCTCATTTGCATAATCCCCAGGGACTCAAATTAACAATTCAAAATTCAGCTTCCACCTCCAACACTCAGAAACCATGACATTGTCCTTAGCTGGTCGTTTCTTAGGGACGGACCATTTGATTTTTGTAGGGGGGATGGGTAGATTTTAAACTAGGCTCAGTCTCCAGCCGTCGGGATTTCGTGCGCCCGCGATACTCTCTCCCCTGACGGCTGGGCGCATGAGGTTCGCTATTGTCAGTCTTGACCAATCAGCGAGTGGCCCCCGATATTTTGAGGGGCATATCATTAATAAATTAGCAGGCAGCAGTGTAACAAAATGGCGTACAATTCGTCGTTTGAGATTCTCTTTGAAAGTGCTTGTTTGAAGGCTCTGAAGTCGTTTAGCTTGGACGAATTTAGAGAAATACAGCAAAAGGCTCTTAAAGAGATTGTTCTTGGAAAAGATGTCCTTGTTATTCTTCCTATACTGGCTCGGGCAAATCTCTTATTTTTCAAACAGCGCCACTAGTGTATTTTGCTCGTTTTTCTGGCAGATAATACATCTATTTGGATTATTAAACCCTGCACATGTTTTACTTGGGGTAATTTCCATTCCTTTCTCTTTTTTAAAGCGCTAACTATTACATTATATCGCTACTTCGCGAAGTTTTCATTTCACATAATTTCCCGCCTTGTAGCAAAACCTTTACGGCTGTTGTCAGATATTTCACTTCCGTTCACTGAAAAATTCACTTCCGTTACGTCATAATATGCTAATTACACAAAAACGTCACGGACATGCGCGACACGTTTCGAACCCCATGCGCCYAGCCGTCAGGGGAGAGAGTATCGCGGGCGCACGAAATCCCGACGGCTGGAGACTGAGCCTAATTTTAAACGTGCTCTAAATTTTTATTAAAAAAGCATATAAAAGGCATCAAATTTATGCGAAATTTTAATCCTGACTATTTGTCCACCTCCTGCTACGAAGAAGGGGGTGGGAGAGTTAAATATTTCATGTATAGTTTAAAACATGAGAGACGGTGTTTTATCAGGTATAAAGATTCGAGCCGAAGGCCGAGTGTTTATATCCACGATAAAACACGAACTACGAGTTTTTTAAATGACTTCTAAAACCCAAACCTAAGAAACTACAATAAACATGAAAGCTGGGTGATTGATTTGCGACCAGGACTGCATATGAATTCGCCAAGGTTGTAAGCCAGTGAGCCCGTGCATTTTTGTTAAGCGGTCATATTTGAAAGTGTAAATAAAGAAAGGGAAAACCCGCATCTCGCCTTTCACTCAGACAAACAGTACAAGTCGTGTTAAATTTATTTACATAACTAAACAAAATGATTATAGAATTAAACCTTTAAGAATTGAATGTTCATATGAAACATTTTCCACCTTAAATACACACGTGTTTTTCAGAAGGGAATT